GGGGCGAACCGTCGTGGCCCTCAGGAGCAAGCAGGCAAGCAGCTGTAACCCAAGACCACCAGTAAGGTGATAAAGCGTCCTCCCTTCCCCCCTTTATATCTACGCCCCTGTTCAGCATGAAGAAGCCAGAGAGTCGGCATCTAATTCCCAAATCAATAAGACAGTTGGTTTAATTACTATTGGAAAATGCTTGTCATTCCTCTGTAGTATCTGGTCCCCACTGTACCCTCATCATTTCCTTCACCTGCTCCCCCCACCGACCAAACTGTGCAGTTCTGCAACTGCATCTTGGCCCATCCTCACCCTTCTGCCCCCAACCCTCACCTCCTTGTACCCCCAATATGTTTTTCCCAATAAAAAAAAAAAAGAACAAAGAATTCTGGGGAAATAATGTTAAAGACAAATGTAACATGGCAAAATGAACCAGAGGGCTTACCTTCCAACATGAAGATTAATCAGGCAGTGAGCTAGACAGCTAATGAATTCCTGGTCATGATTCCCAGGCCCCAAGATCAAGTTCCTGTTCACAGTGAGGACCCTGAGTGAATCGAGGAGAGCTACTTGCTGAGGGACGGTTTTGTGTGCCCGTGAGAACTGGTACAGGATGGTCCTATTCAGGCAGTGGTAAACTGCATCCAGTGACAAGCCCTGGGATCTCCGTTTTGACTGAAAATAATAAGATACTTGATTTAATAAAACAGATGAAAAGATCTTTCAATAGTGAACTGTTTTTTACTACTATGCATTACATGTCAAGTTAAGTATTAGTGATATAAAATTTAAAAAGTACAGATTTATTGCTGTTATGAAGTTGTGAACTCATGAAACATGTTGTTGTTGTTGCTAGGTGCTGCTGAGTCGAGTATGACTCATAGCGACCCCATGAACAAAAGATCTGAACCCTGTTTCATTAACTATCATCATTTCTCTAATGTTCACAGTTTCCAAAGGCCTGCATGGAACGCATAAATACCATTTAATTAGATGAGTGGTACATAATACTATATAGAAGGTGATCAGTTGGCCCAGTGAGGAAAACCATTAACCCTACTGTGGCAGGAAGAAGTGCCATCCAACCAAAGACACAGCTGCAGAATGGACAGTCTCTGTGTAGTATCTTTTTTCTCCCCTTTGGGCAGGGGGGACAGTGTGTGGCGGTGTAATCTAAAGTGTTAAATAAAAATTGGCATTGTAATTACAGTAATAATTTTTTTTTGTTTTGGCTTAAATACAAATCCATCTCTTAAATAAATCTTAGGTGACATAAGAAAACCCTCCCTATGGACCACATGCTAATAAAGCAGTGTTAACAGTTTTAAAATTTCTACATTATGAGATAAATAATGGTTAATAATGTGTGTCACACTAGGCTAATTATTTCCAAATAAAAGGTATCATAAACATACACTAAGTGATGTATACAAAGGAACAAGGACAAGAATGAACTTAGCAAACGTAAATTTACTAGCTTCTGTTCACATTTTGTTAGACTATAGACCCTAACATATTATACTGAAGAAAAAAAAAAACCCCAAAACAAACCCACCTATCAAATGGGTACTTAAGGTATTTAAACCCAAGTGAAAAAATCTAGCTATGTATAAACAGCAATACTAGCAGTAAAAAGCTCTGAACAGTACTTGAGATAATGAGTCAAGTTTACAAAAACATGCTGGCCCAAGGCTGCTGTCAAGGGTTGGAGAAGTTTAAACTTTTTATCTTTAAATTTACTTTTAACATGTTGCCGCACACTTTATAAATTGACTGCGGTGCTTATAAACACATTTGCCATTATTTGCAGCAATGTGTTAAATGTTTATATTCATTTGTTACACTTATTTCCAACAATTTTGGCATGATAGAAAAAGTTATTGCACAAAGAAAACACATACTCTACAACCCCCAGTGATAATGAATTACCTGTGCAATTAGTTGAATTATAAAATCTATAAGAAGTTTAGATTCTTTGTTGAACATGCCTTGCCAAAGCTTGTCTACCACACGTTGTGTGAAATAAAACACGTTGTTCACCAATATCTGGTAGCTTCCTCCACTGGTAATGGGCAGAGATGCGTCTTCCCCTAAATTCCATCAGAAAAAAAAATCTATTGAGATCTTTTTCACAAAAGCAGGTCCTCAAACAAGTCAGGCTAAGGACAAGTGATGACACCTGTGACATTAAGAAATATTAATGACTAGTTCTCACCAATTACTTTAAGAAAATGATGTTTATGGCCAGAAACCACAATAAATATTCAAAGAAAAAATGTCGGCAGGATAAAAATATGTAATATATTGAGACTAACTGTGAAGTCATTAAATGCCTGAAGAGAGAGAGTGATAACAATCCAACACTCAGAGTGACAGATGATCTTTAAAAGAAAAAATTAAGTCAATTTATTTTCTAATTTATCTTATGTAACTAATAAGGGACAGAAATAAGCAATCAAAGCAAAACTAATTTTGAGTGACTTTTAGTAGTGATGAAGTAATATAGGCAGAAGAACTTCAGAAAAATTATCAAAAATAGAGTTAAGCAGTGGTGGTGTCAAGGAGTGCCTTTAGTCCTCTTGATAGCACTTACAAGCTTATTAGCACCCTCTGTTGAAAGTATCCCATGCCTTCAGGGTGCTGCTACCTATACACATTGCTTCAAGGCCAGTCCCCTAACCCCTCCTCCTAATGAAAATGTTCCCTCTAAGTCCTTTCCACACAGGAATTCTACAGTGTCACTGAATGGCACTACTATTATTATTATCCTTCTACCCAACTCTAAAGCACCTCAGTATGCAAAATTTTTCATTTTGGGACTTTGTAAGCATGTAAATACTGACACCAATAATTTGATTCCATGTCCTAGAATCTGTCCTTAAGAATGTTACATACTACATATAACCCAAGAAATTTTACTTAAAAAATGTGTAAATATTATATGTATATGTTATACATTCACATGAACAGGAATATTCATAATAGCTTTATTCTAAATCTCATATTGGAAACTACCAATTTTGCTGCTGACGCTGTCTATCAAGAACAAATGGATAGATGACAAACAAATATGGAGAAAATGAAAAGAAATTGACTCCTGCAACACAGTAACGTGGACACAGCTCACAAATACAATGTTGTGTGAGATAGTAGACTCCAAAGTATATCAAAGTAACACAAAATGAGTAAGATATTCCTTAAAAGGCAAATTGCATATTAAACAATTTGTCACTCAAGAGCTCACATACGTGTCAAAGTCCACATCCCAAGACTTCTACTGTTACATCTTTATCCTAAATTCAAAGGAAAGAGCTGAGTCTTTTCATTGTTACAGAGACAACACCAGGAAGAAGGAAAACGCAAAGAAGAGGCAGAAAAGATGACATCCAAAGGAGCACACACTTGAAGCTTTGAAAGAGGAGGAGTGTGAATATAGTGAATACAATTGTTTTTTAAAAAATTAAATTAAAACATAGCATTACCTAATTAATACGTGAATACAAAGTTTTTTAAAAAATAAAATTAAAACATAGCATTACCTAATAATACATCAGCTGCAAGCAAATGGTCCATCACACTATCCAAAATGTAAGTCTGAAATTCCTTTTGCTGAGTTCGTGTAGATCTTTCAGGAGAGGCCTAATCAATAAATGTCCAGAATTAATAAAAGAATCAACTAAACAAAGGACTAACTCACAGTTAAATTATCAAATCGATCAAAAAGCTAAAAGAACACTTACTGGTAAATGAACATGACATATGGAAGGGCATGCTACATATACATTTATATCTCTCTCTCTCTCTCTCTTCCCTTTCTGACCATAAAGCTTATTAAAGTTTTTTGAAACAAAGATGAAGTATCAATTTCTTAATACACTCTTCCAAAAACAGCATTCTAAACATTACTATTTGGTAAATATTTGCATTAAATTTTACTTTCTAATAAAGAGATAATTGCTTATAATAGATTAACATAAATAAATCAGAAAGCCATTAAGACAAACGCAAAGGCTCCAGAAACTATTAAGTGGCAAGACAAGGAGAAAAGAATTATTTACAAAAACTAAAAATCTAATTACACATACAAGTTAGCTCTGAGCTTCCTAGGTGCCAAGAAAGAAGAGGAGAAAAAGAAACACACACCAGAAAACTTTTAAGTTTTTAAAAGGAAGCAGACAAGGTGGTCAGGAGGGATCTATGTTTCCCAAAATTGTTCTAAAAGGAATGTTCTCTGTGGGTTTTTATAAAGAGAACTACAGGTGGTATCTTTGATAAGAGTTTTACAAAGCATAAAAACGATTTTAAAATAATTTAGAATAAAAGCGTAGGGCACAAAGTTAAACTAACCCCCCTCTGACAGCATTTCCATTGGCAATTAGAGTAATATAATCCAGGGGTTTAACTTTCAAGTATGCAACTTGTTAAGTGCAAAGTGTGGAGAATGGAGAGATGAAAAGGTAGGAAGGACCTTTTCTCATCCTTCTGAAATGCCAGATGCCTTAGCTGGACTTCTGATAAAAGCTGGATATCATATGATTCAACAAGTTGGTATTGTTTCTTAAAAAGAGATCTGTATATTTGAGGTATTCTTGCAGGTGAAGTTTTAGAACCTATTTATTTTTGTATGGAAAAGGGCCACATCTGCTTATGGCCATGCTACAAGTGGGCTCAAAGAACAGTGATCTGTTTTATGCATTCACAATGAACGTTCACACCATTAAAATAAGTTATCAATTTTTATTACAATATCCTATGTGATACTAACGATAGTTTTAATCAAATGAAAAGTTCTTTACTGACATAAATAAAGGGTGGCAGGAGAGCGCAGGGGAGGAAGGCCCTGCATGAGATGGACTGATACAGTAACTGGGGCAAGGGAGACTAGCTCAGGACAGGACAGGCTCCAGAGCTGTTGTACAAAGAGTAGCTAATGAGTTGCAGGCGACTCAATGGCACACAACAACATCAAAAACCATCAGCTAAACCTAAATGGAAATCATCGTTTCCTTCTCCTGCATCTTGACATATTAACTTGGTTTTAAATTGAAAACATGAGCCAATAACAGACGAAGAAATGGTATTACTCAGGATTTTAGTTTGTCTTCAGAGTAAATCTGGGGAAAAGTGAAGGTCATCTCATGCTGTTTTAAATTTGAAAAAGTGCTGTCAGCGACCTCTCCAGAATACTGAGAAGCAACAATGTCAGTTGAGAGATTAAAGTGTCCTTGATTCAGGCCATGATCTTTGCAATTATTTTGTCTACTTGAAATGGGACTCTCTTTCATAGGGTCGCTATGAGTCGCCGACAGCACTTAACAACGATAACATCAACACAGAGAGAGATCAGCTGGCCCAGTGGACAGAAAGTGATGCTACCAAGCCAAAGGTGGGTGACTTTTAATTGGCAGCCCTCGGGCCTGTCTTTCATTGTTTTTGTTCAGACATTTCTCTAGGTCGTATAGCCCTGGTGTACAAATTGCCATACAGAGGTCACTTGGGGCTGCTGTGAGGCTGGCTGAACACTGTGACAGTGATGTGTCAAATGCGTTAATGGTTGGTTACCCAATGTGGACAGAGAGTGGGGTGGAGATCCCCAATTAAAACAAGCTTGGAAGGAGGAGTGGCATCCACTTCCATAATAGCTTGCCTCCGGAAACTCTACGAACCTGGAGAGAGGATGAAAGGCACCCAAGCATTGAGGACTCTCCTTCATAGGGTCGCTATGAGTTGCCTGCGACTCGACGGCACTTAACAACAACAACACTTGAAACAAATTAGTATCATGAAATAGATTAGTCAGTAAGAGATGTCAGTAGTAGATGGTCAGTAGAAGAGTTGTGACCAAGACTTGCTTATGCATGTGGATATTAGACTGAAATTACTATGCCTAAAATTAAGAGTGAAGATTTTAAAGGAATAAGGTTATGAGGATTCCTTAAAATTAGATCTGAGACGATTTATTTATTTATTTAAAATGTTATTATTTGTGTGTGTGTGTACTGTCAGATCAGATCTGACTGGTACAGGAGGAGATTGTTCCTCCTTGTCCAGCAGAGCATCTGGTGGATTTGAAAGAGACCATTTATTAAAGCGCTTGGGTGATAAGAAGAGTTTACAAAGGAGTAAGATTCTTCTTTTCGAAAGTCAACAGGATACATGCATTCAAGGTGGCAACTGGGGTTAAGTTATAACTTGTAGGGTTTATTACTACCTGGAGTTTATCAACCTATGGCTGCAGAGTCAATAATATTGATTTTTACTTAACTCAACAAGCAAACCCTTTTTTATTTTTGCAAACTCTTAACTTGAAGACTTTCAGGCTGATTCACTAATCAACAGGCATTTATTGACTGGTAATCCTCGAATTTCTCTCTCTTAAGCTGCTACCTGAGTACTCAAGACTTAGAATCTACACTCACCATTGGCCCTAATGGCGAGTCCCCATTTTTCTGCTGAGATTCAAGTAACATAAGTAACTTTTAAAGGGGGCTCTCGTGGAGCACTGCATAGGGAGCTGCACTGATAAACTCTAAGGTGGTGCCTCTTCATCTGTGTGAATCGCAAACTGTTCCGATGTGAAAGATGGCCAATCTCTTTCAATGATTTATAGTCTTCAACATTCCTATGAAGCAATTCCAAGTTTATAGATTCTTGGGGTTTACAGAGATTAAGTCAAATGGTCAAAGTAAAAACTAGGACTCAAATCTTAGTTTCTTTGATGGCAAAGCCAATCATCTCTTTTGTTATACCATATCCTCACTAATCTGATAAAATCTCCATATTAAAATTGACAAACAAGAGAAGTCAGTTGAATGCAGGGCACTATTGCTTTATCAATCTTTTCTCTAACTTTGACAGGTCCAGTCAACCAGGATGTGCTCAACGCAGAATGCAAATGAATAATACGAAGTTGATTGTCAGATATGCTTCCTGGTTAAAAACTATGAACCCAGTCAATACCACTAAGACACAGTCTGCTTTTGGACATTTGGACATTTTGGACATACAGGCTAGCTAACACTTGGGCTGCGGGTGAGAGCATGGTAATTCTATCAGGCTGTGTATTCTTTCATTCCTAGAATAGCTAGGTGTCTTCAAAGATGTGGATTTTGAGCTGCTTTGATTACTGTTTTACCCTTGAATGAATTCTCCTCCTGGAATTACGTTTTGTTTTTCTCTTTAATAACTTTTACAGATTTTTTTTTTAATCTGTTTGCTTCCTTGCAGCCACGCAGGGTGGATTTCTCAGATGTACTGACAATGTGATGGAGAAGTCTTTTTATGATGGTAATGAACGCCTCAGATCATAGAAAAGAGTTGCTTACAGTATCAAAAGAAGCACTCCAACTTCTTCTTGTTGCATGCTGTCAAGAGGGATGTAATTCATAGCTAACCCTTCAGTAGGTTTTATGGACACAAAAATCACACAGGAGGTAACTGATGGCCCATCATTCTCTTGTGAAGTAACTGGTGGATTCCGACAGTGTGCCTTTGGGATTACAGCATAGTTTCTTACCATTAAGCCACCAGAGCTCTCTAGTCTAACATAGTTCTCTTAATTTAATCATTTTAGGTTATCTGCTCTTAGCTCCACTGATACTTCTTGTTGCGATGGACAGTGATTAATTTAACCCTCTAGAGGAAGCCTGGTGGTGAAAGCAGGAGACACTAAAGAACAGCAGCTGGGAGAAGTCAAAAGACACCAGTACATAAGCATGCACAAACCACCCAATCCATTTTTGGAAGGTTGTCTTATGTGTCAGGCCCCAACTCATAGACCATAAATGCATTATCTTATTTAATCTTCATGGTAATCACAGGTTCTATTTTTATAACATTTTACAGATGGGTAAACTGTAAGGAGTAAAGAGAATTAAAGTTGGCCAAGGTCACAGCTATAACCGGAACATTATTTCATTGCTCCAATTAGTTTTTACTGGATAATTTACATTGACTTAACCATGACAGCTCCCGGGGATGACGTGAGTGCAGTGTAGTCAGAATGTCTTACTCTAAAATCAATATACTCTTTCTATTATACCACTGGCCTCCCTTGTATCTGGCTTTGTTATACATAGACTCAAGTCAGCCTCTAAGAAGGGGAATCTTTTCTTCCTAAAAGACTGCGGAGGAAGATATTCTCCTCTAATATTCTCATCATGAATTTTTAACAATCATAAGACAACTAATGGCCTGGTTCAGGCTTATCACTACAAACTAGCAAGTAGTCAAGCCCCTTACTTTATGCACACCAACAAGAAATAACTAGATAATATTTTAAAATCTCAGAAATAAAGACTTCATAATCATATATTTTCTTTTTACATCATAGGAAGATAGAAGGAGTAACACACAGTTTCATTAACATAAATGTCTGTCATATGTTATCAGATGTTTCCCAAGGTTGTTAATTTTCCTCTGTATTGTTCCAATTTTAGAGTATGTGCTGCCGAAGCGAGCACAAGTAAGTTACTTTTTTTGTATTTAAAAATAGTTAATTTTTAATATTAAAATAAATTTCTACTGTATGGTGGTATCCTATCTTTTGGTTCTGGAATTATCAGGGGTGGCATTAACAGCTAAATGATTTGCAAATACTAAAAATAAAATACTTAGATACTGTGCTAAATAAACAAAAGGATAAATGAAACTTGCTGTCTACCTTTATGACATTTCAAATCTATTTGCAGACTGCAATCCTGATAGCTTCAGCTTCTCTTGGAACTGTAATTCTCTCATTCCCAATTCCCAAGTACAACCAGACACAATTCCACTGCATGTACAAATCTGTGTTCACAATAATCAGAATTTAACCTTATAGTTACGATAAATTATAGCAAACACTATTTTTTTTAAAAGCACAGAAAATAAGAATAAAAGGTAAAGATCATTTACTTACAGATGAATAGCTATTAGATAATCAGCTATTGAAACTGCTAAAAATTTGAAAATGCGATCATTGGATATAGCTATTCATTCCTTACTTTCCCTATCTGCATACTGACTTTATCCCCAGAGCTCTGAACCAGGAACCAGTTTTTCCTGGCTCAGTCATAGCCAAGGAAGAGAAAATGGAATTTAAGTGTGCCTGAACAGTAACAGGATTAGGAAAAACTATTAGTTGATAGTCTCCTACTTAATTTCTTTCTCAATAAACAAGGACAGCATATGCATTTCACAGCAACCAAATTCTTGGATTGGCAAATTGCTCAAGATGGCAGCTGATGACACTGTTTTGAATGTATGCTGCTCTCTACACTGCTGGCGGGAATCCAATCTCTCCCGGCAGGCTCCTGAAAAAGGCTCACTATGACTTTTCCAAGTCTTCAACTCCAAGAATTCTTCCAGTGATTGCTCAGGTACACACTTGTTTTATAAATTTGAGTCTGTGCGTTGTGCCAATCATTAATGAACTGGTTCAAACTGGTTTGAAGTTCCGATTTTTTTTTCTATTTTGTCAATTATAGTTTCTTGTACACATCTCTTCTGAACTTTATTCTGATATTTTCTGATTAAAGTTTCATTTTTCAAAAAAAACTCCTGCCCTACGTCCTAAGATACAGGACAGCTCCTCACTTAGAGCTTTGTAAAAAAGTTTCAAAACATGCCAGCTAAATGAGGTAAGCTTTTTATCTAGCTAGATTACTGATGGAACTGAAACTTTCATTACAGCATCAGATACTTCAGTCATAGTTGAAATGCTTATCTTCACTTGTAAATTAAATCAGTGAGTTGTTTTCATTACCAGAGTGAGATATGTTAACAAGAATAAGAGAAATCTGTGCTTTAAGCTGCAATTTAAAAGTTATTAGCCACTAGAGGGAGCACAGAACACTCTTGTAGTTTAGTTGTAGAAATGTTGAGAGCAAAAATCGAATTCCAAAATCTCTGTAGATGTTCATTGAAATAAAAAAAATTTAAAAAAAAGCAGCTCCTCAGAAAGAAAAGCAGATGGCTGCACTCAGTCTTCTATACAGATTGAACTGTTCACAAAAATAAATATTTTCAGAGTCCTCCTTATATAACTGCCTGACATTTGTGTGTAAAACTGGTCAAAAGAACAAGCATGCACAGACAATGTGCTCTAGTATTCAATGTGGCTTTTTGAGCCATTGGCTTTGGATTTCACCACATGGCTGGGGATGAGTATACACATGTAGCAAGCCTGTGGCCCCAACAAGGAAATCAAAAACCTTGCTAATAATGTAAATTATAGAAGTACTATCTTTTGGCTGAAAATATGCAAAGTACGTGTACAGGCTACTAATGAAGGGATTAGTCAATTTTTTTTATTCTGTCAGGCTTAAATTAGGCAAGTTCAGAGGTAGCAAAATGGAACATTTGCTAATATCGAGAAAGAAGCAGCAGAGAGTGTAACATATCCTCTGGGGGCAGAGTCCTGTGTGAGATGGAGACTCAAACTAGACCAGACCACTGGCTGCAATAAGAGAGGAGGCAGTGAAACAGAGAGCAACATGAGACAATGGTGAGCTGGCAAGTCCACCGTGGAGCCAGCGTGGAGGGTCTTCACTGGAGTGTGCATGGGGTGGTAGTGCACACACAGCTGGCAGGAATCAAAGAGCTTTGAAACAATGGCCCAGAGCCACAAGGTTGAAGGTCAGGAGGCCTGCCTGGGACCATGTCTGGGAAGAAGTTGTCCTGACTTGAGTGCATCCCACTTGAATTGTATCCTGTTACTTCCCTTACAAACCTCATAATCATCTGTGAGTTTTGGGTGGCCATTGTAATGTTGTTGTTGTTGTTGTTATGTGCCGTCGAGTCACCTGCGACTCATAGGGACCTTATGTACAACAGCCCTAAACTCCGCTCTGTCCTGTGCCAATCGCACTGTCTCTGACACTCCCATCCCAATTATCCCAGTCACTGAATCAATCCACCTCATAGAGGGCCCTCCTCTCCTGCGCTGTCCCTCCACCCTCCCAAGCATGATGTCCCTCTCCAAGGACCAGTCTCTCCTCACAACATGTCCAAAGTATGTTAGACGGAGCCTCAGAATCCTTGCCTCCAAGGAGCCACCCGGTTTAACCCTTTCCAGGACAAATCTATTTGTTTTCCTAGCAGTCCATGGTATTCTCAGTACTCTTCTCCAGCACCACAGCTCAAAGGCATCAATTCTCCTTCTATCCTCCTTGGTCATTGTCCAACTCTCTGATGCATAACAGGTGATTGCGAAGACCATGGCCTGTATCAGACGCACCTTAGTCTCCAGAGAGACACCACTGCTCTTCAGCACTTTGGAGAGGTCCCTAACAGCAGACTTTCCCATGGCAATGCGCCTTTTAATTTCCTGGCTGCAGGTGCCAAGACTGTTGACTATGGAGCCAAGCAAACTAAAGCTGTGTACAATCTCAATCTCTTCACCATCCATCCTGATGCTGCCGATTAGTCCAGTGGTGAGAATCTTTGTCTTCTTGACATTGAGCCTCAATCCATATTGTAGGCTGCAGTCCTTGACACTCTGCAGCAGGCGCTTCAGGTCCTCCTCAGTTTCAGCAAGCAGGGTTGTGTCCCCCGCATAACACAGATTGTTGATAAATCGTCCACCAATCCTGACCCCACATTTCTCCTCATAGAGCCCAGCCTCCCGGATAATCTGTTCTGCATATAGGTTGAAAAGGTATGGAGATAGGATGCATCCCTGGCGTACGCCCTTCCCAATTTTGAACCATGCCATTGTAATAGATCAGGAAATCTATTAAAGGAGCAACAAGAGTCCTTAGAAGGCAGGTGGTGTTAGAATGAATAAATAGGTGCAGGAGCATGCAAACATGCCTGACTTCATAGCATCGATTTGGTGCTACTGAAGGTACTGACAGGGATTCTTTACCCTTGTGGAGTTCATGGTGGTCAGATGTGCCTATCCTCAAGCTGGCTACACTATTTTTACAGGAAAGTATTAAATTTCTACTTTATAATTCTGAAATTGTTTTCTATGATCTCGTAATTTTTCTAATAAACATTTTTATGATTTTTAGGGATGCCCAATTTTTAGAGACAACAGTAAAACAACTAAACCTTGATATCATTCTTATTCTCTGATAAATTAATTGATTCATATCACCTATCAGAAGAAGGAACAGGCATTCAAGGAATCTGCTACCTTGGAAGAAATTCAACAAGTGTATGGTGAACACGTAATACCCATGCAGTAGCCTACGCATAAATCTACAGGATACAGGTATAGTAAGAGCTTGAGTGTGGACCTGGGTCTGATCTGTAAGAGGGACTGAAATAGGAAACAACAAATATTTAAAGAGCATGCCAATGCTGATGTCTAGGGGTAAAGAGTCAGCAAACTATGGTTTGTGAACCAAATCTAGTCTGCTTCTGTTTTTGGATAAACGATTACTGGAAAACAGCCATACTTATTCCATTTACTAAGGTTTTTTCCTAGTCAAAATAGAGTTGAAAAGATTTGACAGAGATCACATGACTCACAAAGCCTAAAACATCTTCTGTCTGTATGCCTCTTTCCAGAAAAATGTCTGCTGATGTCATGTTTAGTGAAAGGTTGATAAAGAGACTGGATTAGGGACATGCTTGAGGTCGTGCAAGGAAGTAAAACAAGCTTAGAAGGTCCACAGAGCATTCAGGATAAGAACTTTACACAGCCCGTACTATAAGATGCTTATACAACTCAAAATTTACAATCTCTGAGGGCATGTGGCATAGAAATTATTTAGCTATGCATGTTCTAATTACAAAGACAATGCAAAGAGATGTAAATGCATGTCTTCGTCTTTACCTCTAACAAGAGGTCAATCAGTGGTGTTTGCTTGCTTGCAGGAGTAAGGCAGAGATTGTCTATGATTAAGACCCGCATGAAGTCGAAAACAAACTTCTTAGCTGGGTGATTGGTCAGATATGTCTTTGTTCCCACATTGCAGTACTCTGACTGGCTTCTATTCATTCCTGTGTCTGCTGCAAAGGCTTTAAACTCTTCGGCTGGAGATCCTACTTCATCATCAAGATCAGTCACCTAGAAAAATCAAGAAGGAAAATATGCTGGTAGCAAAAGATTTAATTTGATACTTCAATCATTCCTAAAAATTAAATTATGGTAGAAAAAACAGTTTAACTTAAGCATTTATCACTCGTTAAGTCACATGACATTTTATTTCACTCCACTTGATTTGACTTCTGATTTAAGGTATCATCAAGAAGCAAATGTTAAGGTCATTCAACATATGATCTTAATAACACAAAGTATAGAATGACCACAAATATTATGTGGAACTGCCTTTTTCTAGTGGATATGTGCACTAAAAAAGAATGAATAAAGTGAAGATGACTTGTATTTGCGTATCTGAAATTTGCTCACCAAGAATATAGACATGTCATAATATTCAGATAAAGTATTGGCCTAATATAATACTAAGGGCTAAGGAATTTCTTTCAGATAGCAAACAAGCATATATACAACAACATTAGTGCCAATTTTGAGCTAAAAGAGAAAGATTAGAAGATAGAATACAAGATGTTCACAAACATATAAGGACTAGACATTATTAAAATCCAGTTTTTAACAATAACAACAAGAGAAGATATAAAATTAAAATCAAGCATGTCTATTATGGTTACGTGCTACACTTATCTTTCACATAAAAGGCATCAAAATTTCAACATGAGTATTTTACCATTATACACTAAGAAAAATTAGTATGAAGAAGAAAATTTATTCCAGGCTTTTATAGTAAGTGCTAAAATAAGAAGACATGACAACATATTTTGAAGTACTATGGTGGGATAATCATTGTTGATGCCTGTTTTAAAGGATAATCAAAGTACATGCACATATTGATTACTGGTTCAGTGGTGTGAATTTTTGCTTTCTTCATGTTAAAGTATAATCCATATTAAGAAAGAAGTATATGTATAATATATAATTATAGTCTACTACAATATATCATATTAGAAAAAAATAATAATAAAAGTTCACTACATAAGTAAAAGTTAAAGATGGAAAAGCAGAAGAAAGAATAGACATAAGATTTAATTTCTAATAAAGAAAATCAATCCTAGTTTATGGAGATAAACGAAAATAATTTTGGTCTGATTAGAGCTTGTCAACTAAGAAGAATATTTTGCAACCACATAGCTTGTCATCAAATAAAATGAGAAGTGGATCAACAGCTATTTAGAAGGAAATTACTGGCATGGGACTTAGAAGAACACAGCACAAGAAAGAGGAAGCAGGGCACTGCTATTTTAGGGGAAAGCAGGAGGACAGTGTCAGGAGCCAGAGTCACCGGACAGTGATGGAAGAGGAGGTGGATAAAGTTGTGAAAGCCTCAAAGCTGGTCAGGAGATATTGGGGGGGGAAAAGAGTGTCTGCTAACCAGTGGTACAGACTAATTCCAGTTTTGCCATATTTCTGCCCCCTTTCCTACCATCTCCGAGTAAGGGCGAATGTTGAAGGGGAAGACTGTGGCTGCTAATGCGCACAGGAAATCAGGGCTCATCCACATCGAGGCCAGGTCTGGAACGTTGTGATACAGGTATCTGAAGAACTGCATCAGGGTCACTGGATATTCTCGGAGCCAAGATCCCTCTTCTTCTGACTGCCACGGCTGTTATGGGGGAGAGAAACGGAACTATGTTAGATAAAGCAGCACTGCTGAAAAGGACTTAAAAACTGTTATTATTTTCCTAATCCTGGATACAGTCATGGTCCAGAACTCTTAAATCACACACGAAAGCAAGCACATGGAGAGCAAGCACATGTGCGAGAACATAAGCCAACAAAGGGAGACATTAGTTAAGACACGGATGATCCCCGTACAAATTGACCAGATGTTCACCTAATGAGTGTAGGACTCAAAGCTCAGCTGACTGCCTCAAGACTTTTTATCATTTATCATTATCAGCATAAGGATTGTTGGTACACACTGGTTTGCTTTATTATCGAAATTGCCAGAGTTAGTTAAGAATAAGAGAAAAGCTGGGGTTCTGACTTCATCCATCTTAGTCTGTCTGCCATACTTAAAATGGTGAAAACAGTCCTTACAGTGATTATGCAATACAACAATAATGATGAGAAAGACAAAAACTAACAAAAAGTGAACACATGTGAAAAATGCCTATACTCCTATGCCTGTCAGAGGGAAAAAAAACACAACACATCAAATATATTGTCTTGCATCCAATTTCAACTCATGGTGACCCCAAGCCTTAAAGACCAGAACTGCTCCACAGGATGTTCTTGGCCACAACCTTTATGGAAGTAGAGTGCCGGCTTTTCTTCTGAGGAACAATGAATGAGTTCAAACCACCAAACATTTAGGCTAATTGTTGTTGCTGTGCACTGCTGAGTTAGAATCAACCCATAGCTGACCTTCCAGTGGATTTTCAGAGGCACTTCACTGCCTAGGAGGAGACTGTCCAATTTTCTCTTGCGGAGCAGTTGGTGGATTGGAGCCAGATACCTTTGTGCTGGTAGCGTTACTCCTTGCCACAAAGCCACCAGAGTTCCCTGCGGGTTAGTAATCAAGTGCAAATTGCATTCCACCCAGCGAACACAATAAGAAACCAAATATATCTGAACAATGTCCATTTTCTGGTATCTGTACAGAAAGTGGCTTTGTCTTTAACTCATTTTTATAGTTGTTTATGAAAGGGAAACAAATCATTTTAACTTAATGTATTTCAAAGTACTATTCACAGAATGCATAATGAATGAAATGACATTTGCTGAGTATGAGCAAACCAAGGGATCTAAGTTAATATTCCCTACTTCTGGAGGCTAAGGTGCACCTGATACAGGTCCTTATCTTTGCAATCACCTACTATGCATCAGAGAGCTGGACAATGAGTAGGGATGCTAAAAGAATTGATGCCTTTGAGCTGTGGTGCTGGAGAAGAGTACTGAATACACCATGGACTGCTAGGCAAACAAACAAGTTCATCCGAGAGAGGATTAAACCAGGCTGCTCCTTGGAGAGACAGGGATTCTGAAACTTTGTGTGACCTACTTTGGACATGTTGCAAGGAAGGACCAGTCGCTGGAGTGGGACATCATGCTTGGAAGTGGGGAGGGAGAGTGCAGGAGAGGAAGACCCTTGATGAGATGGGACTGACACAGTGACTGGGATAATGGCAGCAGGTGTGGAAGAGATAATAGGATTGGCACATGACAGAACAGGGTTTAGGGCGGCTGTACACAGAGTCGCTATGAGTCGCAGGTGACTCAACGGCACATAACAACAACATTTAAACAAAATCCAAAATTGTACAGAAAATAATTATTCACAATATTCCTGTAAGAGAGGGACTTATATCCTTTATGCTTTAATTTTTTCATAATTAAGTTAAAAATAATTCAAATTGGGGGAAAATCCAGCTTATATTTAAAATATTTTAAATCTTTAATTGAAAGTAATTTTATAGTTCAATACATGTAATCTTTGAGTAACAATGACATTTCCCCCTACATTTGTCTTTAAGTAAAATCTATAGGTAAGTCAGAACAAGTGTGTATATTTCTTATGTGTTAGGTGTTGGACTGTTAACTGCAAGGTCAGTGATTGCCACTCTGTAGGAGAAAGTTGAGAAATATTTACATATTCTTATATTTATAGCCTCTGTAAGGCGAAGGAGGGTGGGTATAAGTTGAAAATGACTTGATGGCAGTGGACTTCATGCAAGAAAAGGCTTGATGCCTTTTCTGTGATTTCAAAGCTGCACATGCAGGGGTCCCTAGTATGTGGTCTTAACCAGTGCACACTGGTCCTTACACTGCAGTTATTGGGTGGTTTCCATCAATTATGACTCATAGCAACTCAATGAACAACAGATCTGAACCAGGCCTTATCAAGCACCATCTTCATAACCTCTGATATCCTTGAGCTCATATGCTACAACCAGTCAATATATCTTGTTGATGATCTTCCTTTTGTCAGATCAGATACTTGAAAACCGAAAGGCAGAGGTTCCAAACTTCATACAGTCACAAGAGGAAGTTTCTCCAGGAGGAGGAAGAGTTGACACTGCAGCCATGTGTCTAAGCATGGCTGACATGCGGAAGGTAGAGTAAGGCAGGGCAAGGTCACAGTGTGTTGTTCGTAGAGTCTTTACAAGCCATAGATGATTTAATGGCATAGAACAACGAACAGTACGGGAGAATTCCTCCACTTAAAAACAAAACCAAAACATAAAACAAATAAAGCCAACACAGGGGAGAGGAACGGTCAACATGTCTTGTTATCTCTACAAACTTACTGAATTCAGCATGCTGCGGAGCATTCCCAATAATAAAAAAGCTGCTTCTGTACACACGTTATGTATAGAAGAGACCACAGTTCCACTGGAGGCAGGAACTCCGAAGATAAATGTCCAGATGGAGTCCAAATCAAACTGCAGAGGTAAGAGAGAGTAAAGATTAGTCACTGTTTATTTTCTCAGTAGAGATCCTCAAAATTATAGTTACTCTAAAATTTCTTTGAAACTGATTTGTTTGCTTTTAAAAGTGAGAAATGACAAGAAAAAGAGACCTAACTTTCCTCCTTCTATTTTATACAATCTGATTTACAGTTTAATAACATATCATTCTGTTTTTAGGTGCCTATGTAAAACATTTATTCACTATGTTATTTTGTAAAGGAAAACAAACTTAAATAAATTATATTCTAATTAGACAATATAAAAGAATTGATGATTTTAAGACCGATCCTTTTAAAAAGTTAAGCTGGACTTTTTCAAGCTAATTATTCAATTTTAGATTACTTGTATAGAAGGTTTGATAAAATAAAATACTCATTTAAGGAGGTTTATTCCTAGCAGTTCAGATAATGATCCTTTATGACTAGCTAATATGTGACAGATATTCTGACAAGTTATACAACTAAGAAGTTCTGCTGCTGAGCACATATCTGTATATGGATTTAATATAAGTGCTTAAAAGTTGTGAAGACTGCTATAATTCACTGAAAGAGCATCTGATATTATGGTAGAAATACAGCAGAATTTAAACGTTAAGTTGGTAAGTTTTCATAGTGCCAAAAACACAAGTTGTAGTTAGATAACCCTAGGAGTCTTCAAATTACAAGTCACACAAAGCCTTACTGTTTTCTTACCATATTTGTTACCTATCATTAGCAATTAAAATGATTTCTGGTACTAAGAATTTGCACTAAGGATTTATTTTTATCATCCAAAGCCACTCAATTAACTTATGGGTAACACAAACATTATTTTAAAATGTATGAAAATGGAGTTATAACTCTAGGTAAAGTTATGTAAATTAAAACCAATTCTTTCGATCACCCAAAAGTCTTTGCACATACATAATCATATAGAGTAATCATACAGGGACAGGAGAAAAGTCAAATATGGACAAAGGAATTCATTTTGGTAAGTTTTTTAATGATCTTTTTGGATTTTTAAATTTCACGTCATATTCTATTTGTAAGAAAATGATGGAATTGATTGTTAGTTTTAGTGTGATTAACCCATTACATTACGGTGCTTTTTTAGTATGAACAATTACACTTACATCTTAACTAGGTAATTCCTACCTGGCCACCCTGCTTACATCGGCTGCTGACGACAGGCACACTGACCTGCAGGTTCTCAGGCAGCTCACTAACTGGCTGCTGCAGAAACAATGCCATGAGGAGAAAATAGAGGGCAGGGACATTAGTGTGTTTAGGAAGGAATGACTGCAGAACCGGAAACCCAGGAAAGTGACAGGCATCCCGGTTAATCTCCCTGACTGACGATCTCCCACCGGCACTTCTGCCCACGTTGAATCCTAAGAAAAGACGAAATATAACAGTTTAGTACAAGGCTGGCCATTTTCTGTGAAGCTGCATCAACAAAGAATAGAACAATTCAGAGCACATGATATTTCTATCCAGAACATTCACACTAAAGACATGATATGCTCATCTGTGGGATTACTTTTCCAGCTCAAATTTTGACCTACTGTTTAACTTTAGAAGCTTGTTTATTAAGAAAACCAAAATCCCCACATCACTGCTGACCTGTCGACTTCAGCTCCTAACAACCATACAGGAGAGAGAAGACCTGAGCCACTGGAATATCAAGTTTCTGAATCTTTACTGAATGATGGTGCCACATCTTTCTCCTGTGTATTGGTTGCTGGGTTCAAACCACGACTTTTCAGGTCACAATCGAGAGCCCTGTGTCAGCTGGTGCAAATGTAGGAGGATACAGATTTTGAAACCTCACCATGAGGCAATCAGACATAATGGTCTGGAAATAAGTCACAGGGCGATATAGAATCCATTCATTAAAAGAGTAACCTCAGAAAAGCTCTATCATTCCTGCTGTGTTTCTCTAAAAAGAAAGTTTCAAGTAGAGTCAAAATATAAAAGACTTCAAAATGGTATTGCAAAAAAAATCTAATGGTTTTAATAATGTACAATTCCACTTGTCCTGAAAATGATGATAAACTTTGCAGCTGCTGTTTGCTGTGGTGGCGGTTGGGTGTCTTGAGTTGAGTACGAACCATAGTGACCCTATTAACAACAAATCTGAACCCTGTCTGATCCTGAGCCAGTCTCACACTTCCTGACACACAAGAGCCAACTGTGATAGTCATTCTGTTAATCCACCAGATTGAGGATCTTCCCTTCCTTGGCCAACCCACAGTCTTTCTGAGTTTCATGTCCCTTACCAAGGAATAGCTCCGCCCGAAGTAGGTGGGGTATAAACATTGTATTCTTTCATTACTCCAAATCTAGTACTGTGTACAGCTCATAAACTCACAGTCAGTACCAAGTAAATTTTCATGGAAGACATGAATATCAATAAACAAATGACATTTATTTTTATTCTGAAGCAATGGATATTTTAAGCAAACAGTGGCATTTTAAACTTCTATGATGAAGTGAACATTTACATAACTAGATAATATTAAACTTAATGCTCTTGTGTACTGTCGAGTTGGAACAGACCCATTGCTGACCCTCCAGTGGGTTTTCAGAAGCAGAAAACTGCACAGGAAGAGACTGTTCATCTCTCTTCCACAGAAAAACTGACAGATCCAAACCATGTGCCTGTGGATTAGCAGGGCACTCCTCAGCACTAAGTCACAATAGAGAAATTTATGCTTAGATGGTGTTTAAAACAACTTCTTGGTGTGAGTGAATTCATCTTCGAAAGTATGCTTTTCAAATTAACAGAAATTTTGACATCAATTTATTAAACTGTTCTAGATAGCACTCATTTCTGAATGGCAACAAACTAGTGAGGGAATTGCTATTGCTATTTTAATAACCTACGACTCATATGGTCTGTTCCAAGTCATAAAGTTCACGAGTGGAGGAACTAGCATTTGGAACCCAGTATTTCTGTTTTAAAGCCTGTAAAATTATGTCATCTTTTGTTAATGACCCTGCCACATTTGTGAATGAATGACTAAACTAGACCAGTTGTTTAAAGCCTAAAAAAAAAATATTGGCTATAAAAGAAAATCTCCTGTACTTTAAGAAACTATGCTACATAGTGATACTTTATAAACTAAACAGAAAACACTCTACATTCATGTTTCTTTCCCAGAGCTTCACAAATTCTACTTTTCTCTTCACATAATCTTAAGACATACTTCCTATTTTATTAACAGTTTATATTCAAGTTATATACAATTTTATTTAATTAAATAATTCAACAAAACAAATATTCAAGATAAAATTAATAAAAACATTAAGTGGCTCATCAAATCAAAGAGATTAGTTCATATAAATATGTAGCTATTTAGGAAACTCTGGTGGCCTAGTGGCAAGAAGCTGCACTACAATCCCAAAAGCAGGTGGTTGTAAGCCACCAGCTGGGATGGGCCATCTTCTCACTGGCCACTGCCTCAGAAAATTTGTCAAAGGGTTGGTCAGTTATGGGCCAGTTCAAAGTCTATGATTCTACTTTACACAACAACATTTAGGAATGCAAAATTAATTTACAATGAATACCTATATTTCTTATTTTTAGAATCTGGGCAGAATAAAGAATATGCAAATAGCTATTAAAGCAAGACAAATTACAAGCCATGAACTCAGTTGAGCCATATATGAAGTCATATTTAGGAAAAAATAAAAAAAATGTAGGACCAAGACATCATTACTATTTATCACAAGCAGCCAACAGTGTAGTAAGTAAACCAATACAAAAGTTAAAAAAAAAAAATTAGGAAGATATAAGAAAAAAATAGATAGCAGTAATAATTTCCTAATTAGAGAATTTAATCATTAAGGCATATTTATCAGGCAAAATTTATTTCCTATAAAATATAATTTCTATATAAAAATACATAGCTCTCTCCAGAAATATGAAGGTAAAATGAGCTAATATAAAGAATTTTGCAAACCACAATGTGCTATATAAATCTTAGGTGTTATCACACCTTCTGGCTTTTAATAAGGAGCAGTATTATTAATTAGCATTTAAACTCTTTATTTCTTAAGAGAAAAACCTTTTTTTTAAATTGTGATTTTAATGAAAGTTTACCGAAAGTCTGGATTTTCATTCACTCACTGACACTATTTCCCTTCTTCCCACCCCCTTAGTTCACACTGTAATGCACTTCTTGTTCCAGATTGTTAATTTTCATACATATAAGCCTTTAAACTCTCAGAACTCACATTCAAGTTCTACAGAATCCACATTCAACTATGCATTTCATTGTCTATGCTCGAGTTGTTATTATCACCATCAAGATGTCAAATTTTCTGGTATCAATCTCTTCTTGACCATCACATTTGAGAAGTTTATATACCCTGGCCCCACTATTAGCCAATGCAAGTTCTGCACACAAAATTGACTATAATAAAAATAAATGAAAATGCATACTTTAGAAGAGATACTATAACTGAAAAATCATCTTACAATGATGTAATTTCTTTCCTATCTTATAAAAAAGATACTTCAGAATTAAGCAGTCCTATACTTCAAGCTCTGCCTTTTTATAACTTTCTCTGACTGTAGCCCAAAATTAGACCTGTATATTACAATATTTACTTTTGTCATAGATAAATTATGTATTCCTGATTATTGCTATTATTATGATGAATTATCATATTCTTGATAGAATATGACGACATATGACAATTGTAAAACATGTTACAATAAAAATACACTTTAAGTTACATTTAAAATACTTTAAAAATTACTCTGAATATATGATTAGGTATTATTATGTTTGAGAACAAAAGGGTGCATTGTGGGGAGGGGTTAGAAGAAAAGGGGAGGGGAAAAAATGTGCAACGATGAAGGAAAATGAAACTTTTTTTTTTAAAAAGCTCTCATTTTCAGTATTACACAAATTATTGTATAAAACACAATGTTAATAGAAGAATGTGTGAAACACAATGTATAGAAACAACACATGTATTATTTTTTATGCAAACCCATATAAAATTTAAAAAATTGAGAAAGAATCTCCAAACTCATAATTTTCAAAGTGAGATCATTAATATGAACAAAAACATACTGGTTCAAATAAAACTAACACAGAGAACAACAATTTTTGTAGTAGTATTTAAATGCTTAGTTATATGCTCAAACAGTGTGGTATCAAGAAGCAAAATAAGCAGCTTTGGCTAAAACTTAAGAGCTTAAATCCTTGAGAGGCATATGTACCAGTGGCTTCAAAGGTAAAACACAGGCAAACATCTCTTCACAATTTATAGCCTCATAGTATCAGCTATGAGCCGGTTCGCACCAGATAGCAATGGGTTTGAGGGATTTTTTTTTTACTGACTCTGAAAAGCTAGGATTAAGCACCGATACTTTTCATCTCTGTAACAAATAACTTCATAGCTATGCCTTGGTTTTCTTATCTGTAAAACAAATATAATAGAATATACACTTCATAGTGTTACTTGGAAAATTTAGTAATTCCTAGCTGGTGTAGATAATGTGTTCACTGCTTACCAAAAGGCTGGTAGTTCAAGTCCACCCAGAGACGACAATCTTGCACAAAAGGTCTATTTTGAGATATCAGTCACTGAAACACTTTTGGAACCTAATTCTGTTCTGATACATAGAAGGTCACTAAGAGTTGGAGTGATTGATATTGTTATTACACGGCATGTGTTCAGAGTAGTAAGAGGGGCGAAAAAAGGTCTTAAAGAAATATTAATTGTTACTATTCAGTACTACTGATAAGGAGTCCTGGTGGCTTAGTGGTTAAGAACTGTGCACCAATGCAAAGGTACATGGTTTGAGTCCACCCACTGCTCCACGGGACAATCTCCTCCTATAGGTTCAACTGTTTCTGAAAACCCACTGAAAGATCAGCTATAAATCAATTTCTACTCAATGGTGTCCATCAATAACAACTTACAGTCTATTTATTTATATTTCCTATACTACAACTATAAAAAGATCATCAGCAATCTCCCAAGTTTTCATTCTTAGTATCTTGTCTCTGACTTCAGTCTGATTTGCCATTAAAAAAGTCAAAGTTGATTCTAAGCTTAAAATTCTACTATTAGGTCACATTCAGGACATGATTCTTAATGGTTATTAAGTAGAGATGAAATGATGAGTAGAGATGAAATGATGAGTATAAACTTACATAGCATTTGAAAAGAAACTAATGCTGCTTGCTTCAAAGTAGTTGTTTATTAAACACTGCATACCTAATACTGTGCCAATTTTGTTGGTTAAGACAGAATCGGTCTGTTCAAGCCATCCTCCTCCATTGAGTCCTTCTTTAAACTTGAGGAGAATAGACTGATTACTCAGTAGGACAACAAGGATCCTCATGGCTGCTGTAACTGTGGTGGAATGGAGGTGTTCTTCCATAAACATCATAATCCAGTCAAACCCGAGCGTCTTGACCAGTTCTTCACAAGCTCTATTCAGAACAGGGGGGTAAAACAAAAGAAAATTCATTTTTGGTATTAGATTAAGTTTCATTCTTGGGAACCAATAATATTTCAAGATTTTAAAGAAATCTACTTAAAGTCAAGGCTTTCCCTTCTTTTGTTTATCATGTATCAATAAACTCATAATTGTAACAAATGTCATTACTAAAAAATACTACTTACTGCAAATTAATGTTTGTCTTTTCTTTAGATGTATAAACTAGTTTTAGTAAAATATCCAGAAGTCTGTTCCTCAAAAGTATAAGATTTGCAGATACAAGACCTCCAAACTCTTCTTCAGTCCCTATAATGAAGATACATACATGAAAATCACCTTAGCAATTAGGCTGGCAGAAAATATCTACCATTGTTTTCTTTGAAACCTCACTGGAAAATATGTCTTTTGGAAAAGATTTTTTTTTCTAGGAGGGTTTTCTGTTAGAGTGGGCAAGGGGAAAAAAGGGGGTTTATTTAATCTTTTCTTTATAGAAATGCCAAAAATGGTTCCTTTAAATTTAGCTTTATCAAAGCTTATGATAATGCAAATTTATAAACCTTTTATATATTGTTGTCCTTGTTGTGTACCATGGTTGGAATCAACCATAGCTGACCCTCCACTGGGTTTTTAGAGGCAGTTAATATGCAAGAGGAGATTGCCCATCTTTCTCCCGAAGAGCAGCTGGTGGCCTTAAACTGCATGCCTCTAGAATTGCAGCGAGTGAGGCTTTTTACCAGTAGACTACCAGACAAAAGCAATCATCTATCAATAGGGCAAGAGCAGTCAAATGAGAACACCAGTTAGAAAGAACAATTAAAAACTTGGAAAATCTGAACTATCTGTGTCCTTAATTTTTAGTTTCATTTTGTTGAATTACAAATAGTTCAATTGAATAGATTTAAAAATTTAAGCTATACACATAAAACTTGTTTAGTAAGTATAATAGATTAAGAAAATTTAAACATTCAAAACAAATTGTACTGAAGAGAGTTTCAAGGCACACAATTGCACAAGTTAAGAATGCAAAAATAAGAAGACAGAAAGTCCAGCTGCTCTCAGTGGACAATGTTGGAAACTCAAGGGGTTGGGTGCCCAGGACCCACTGCTCTAGGCCAAGTTCCATCAGAAAGCTGCTACTACCAGTGAGTCATGCATGAACTGTATATTCTTCCATCTCATGTAGACCTGAGGCTCATCATACTATAATTTCAATAATCACAGTTAAAGTAAGTTTAACCTCACCACAACAAGATAAAGGGAAATAATCCAATAGAAAAATGGGCACAGGATATGAACAGACACTTCACCAAAGAAGACATTCAGATGGCTAACAAGCACATGAAGAAATGTTTAAAATCCCTAGCTCTAAGAGAAATGCAAATCAAAACAACTATGAGATACCATCTCATCCCAGTAAGAATAGCAAAATTTAATGGAACAGAAAGCAACGAATGCTGGCAAGGTTGTGGAGAAACTGGAACCCTTACTCACTGTTGGTGGGAGTGTAAAATGGTGCAACCACTGTGGAAGGCAATATGGCACTTTCTCAAAAAGTTGCAAATAGAGATACCATTTGACCCAGCAATTCCACTACTAGGAATATATCCCAAAGAGACCATAACTGACATCCAAGCAGATATATGCACACCCATGTCTATTGCGGCTTTGTTCACAATAGCAAGGAGTTGGGAACAACCTAAGTGCCGATGAACAAACGAATGGATAGAGAAGCTGTGGTATATTCACACAATGGAATACCATGCTACATTGAAAAATAAACTCATGCAATACTATTCAAAATGGGTGACCCTGGAGGACATTATGCTGAGTGAAATATCTCAGTCACAAAAGGACAAATACTGCATGGTGCCACTTTTGTAAAACAGGACTGACATTCGGGTTGGGGGGGAGATTGAGAAAGATGGGTTCAATAATGTATATTGCATTGAAACAGATGAGGGAGAAAACTGTTTAAAAGGGATATGTGATTAGGTATTTTTGTCATGACAGGAGTCCAGAACGAAGGCTGCATAGTGGAGTGGACCTGGGAGGGGGGGACTGTAAAACAATGAAAGAATTTTTCTTTTACTTTTCCAAGAGGGTAGAGTACTAAGGGGGAGGGTTAGGAGGGGAGAAAGGTGCAACAATGAATGAATGGAAATCCAAAGTATCTGTAAATTTTCACTGAAATTAACAATAAATTAGAAAAGAAAAAAAAAAATAAACAAGTTTACCTGTTTTGGCACTGGATTATTTCATCAGTATTATATTTTAAAATTGCCAATTTAGTGTCCAATTATTAGACACAGTTCCTCAATTTCATTTTGTTTCTAAAAACAATGCAACAGCAGCAATGAACAGAGCGTCTTGTCGATGATAAGAATGGCACAGTCTACAACAAGGTTCAGACCTGTTGTTGGGTTTCAAGAAGTCATTTTCGACTTGATGGTATTTAACAACAACAGAAAGTGAACAGTAACACTCGCCAGGAGCTTGTTCTTGAGATTAACTAATGTTTCTGTATAAAAATCCAAAAGGGCAAGAGGCAAGAAGGGCAGGAAAGAACCATAAAAGGATAGGGACACATGAAAGAATTGTCAAGAGTGTTGTTATATTTAGGTGACTGTAAACAATGTTATGGGGGAAAATATGTAAATTATTAAATGGGCAATTCATGTGTCCAATAAACTTTTAATCAAATCAAAATACCACGGGACAAAACCCAAAACATTAAGAAATCCTGTCCCAAAAATATCATTAAGTAGATTATTATGAATCCTCTGAATATATGCAGATTTTAATGTTACAGTAAAATTTAAGCCCTATTAAAGTTTTTAAGTAGTAGTGTACATCTGTATATTATATAGACAGTATATTAAATAGACTGGACAAATGTATCTGTGTAAAAAGCTAATTAGTAACAAGTGAAATAGACAATATTCTAATAATGATAACTTTTTTCCAAGTGTCGAATTAACTTACCAGTGTCAAGTTTCTCTTCGTTGTTTATTTCCATAACTACAAATTTCTCACAAACTGCAAAGGTTGGCAAAGTAGAAGAAATAAACTGTCCAAACCTTTAAAAAAAATACAAATTTTATTTTTCCTCTCCATTAAACAACAAATTGAAAGAAATAAAAGAGCTCTCTGTCTAACATACTTTAGGCACGTGGCCAGGAGGGACCGGTACTTGGAGAAGGACATCATGCTCAGAAGGGTGGAAGGACAGTGAAGGAGAGGAAGACCTCAGATAAGATTGATATGGGAAATGAGTAGGTGGGTCGGAGTCAGTGAGACTGGCTCAGGACAGCGCAGGCCTCAGAGCTGCTGTACACAGGGTCGCTATGAGTTTCAGGTGATTCGAAAGCACGTAACAACAGGAGCAACATAAACAGAAGGAGACTGCCATCTCTCTCCCTTGGAAACTGCGGTGGATTTGAACTGCCAAAGAGGTGGCACAATTGGGATAGCAGCACAACTCTCTAGAACTATGCCAACAGAACTTCCTAAAGAGAAAACCATTCCTATTTTAAGATCAGATGCTTGGTGGCACAGTCCACAGGGAGTTGTGTTACTACCCCAAAGGCGATTCTTTAACTAATCTTTCCTAGACCTTTTGCTGCTGTTGTTGGGTACCATCTAGATAACTGTATTTCATAGAGACCCTACGAACAACAGGCTGGAACTGAGCTCTATCCTGTGCCATCTTCACAGTCCTCACTTGCTCAAGCCCATTCTTGCAGTCTTGTCAATCTATCTTGCTGAGAGGCTTCCTTTCTGTGGCTGACCTTGTATGTTTCCCAGCATTGTCTTTTTCCTTTAAAGAGTTATACATACTATTGGGTCTTCTGGACCATTCCAATTATCATAGACAATAATACTTCAAAAATATACTTTAAAAATATAACACTGCCATAGCCACTGAGTTTGAACTAAACTCACAGTTGACCCTCCGTCAGGTTCCCATGACTATATTGCATGAGATTGCCTAGCTTAAAAGTGCACAGCCATTGGTGGATTTGAACTCAGACAGGTATAGCTTTTGAGTTAGCAGCAAAACTCCCTATAGACAATGCCAGCAGTTCTTCTGAAAATTAAGTCCTTTGATATAGTACCGTAAATAGTTTCAATGGAGAGTCCTACATGGAGTTACACTGTTAACCAAAGTTCATGCCTCTCTGGTGGTTCAAATCCATCAGTGGCTCTGAGATAAAAAGGATGGGCAATCACAGGATGTAATTTACAGTCTTGGAAATACAATGAGGATCTAGCCATGAGTTGGCTCTGAATCACCAGCAATGAGAGTTTGAGAATGAAAGAGAAATAGTTTCAAGAATCAAACAGAATGACCTAAAACTAAAATGCTCTATCTACCATGCTGCAATCCCAAAGGTGCACAGTTCAAAGCCACCAGCTGCTCTGCAGAAGAAGGATGGACAATCTCCTCCTCTGCAATTTACTATCTCTGAAAACACTCTGGAGGATCAGCTATGGGTTGGTTCTGACTCACAGTACACAACCATAGTAGTACCTAAAAGGAGTTGTGATAGCATATTCTGTTACATGCTGGGATGTTAAACAAAGGTCAACTGTTGTAGTCCACCAGTAGCTAAAAGGGAGGAAAAGACATCTTCTTCCATTAAGATTTACTGCCTTAGAAACCCAAGAAAGGAGCCTCATGAGCTAGAATCCACTAGAGAGCAGTGGGGTTTGTTTTGTTTTTTAAAAACAGTACTTCTATGAATCTACCATAGCCTTGGTGGTGCTGTGTGTAAAATAATTTTGTGGCAACCTAAAATGTGGTGTTGTGAATCCACAACAGTTCTGGGGGAAATAATGTGGTGATCTTCTTATATGAAGATTTATCACTTTGGAAACCCAATGGGTTTCTTCTGTTATAAAGGATTAATGAGTCTGAATTAACTTGATGCTAATGGGTGGTCTGGTAGTTAAGACGATGAATGTTATAAACAGTTAAAATTAACATTTGGATTCTATCACTTTTAATAGGCATCTGGTGATGCAATGGTTTTGTGCTGGATGGAGGATGGCTCTGGCCTGGTTGGTCGGTGATGAAAGTAGGCTAGAGGTCTCTTGTTGGAGCCAATGAGAGGCTGATGCAGGAGCTGGGGTTTTAAAGAAGTCATTAACTAATTAACTAAATTTAATTAATTAATTTTTAAAAAGTCATTAATTAATTAATATGCCTGTGGAAACTCTAGGAACTTAGAGAGAGGAAACAGTTATAGAACAGGGTTGTTGTTCAGTGCCTTCGAGTCGCAGGCGACTCATAACGACCCTATGAAGGAGAGTCCTTGACGCCTGGGTGCCTTTCATCCTCTCTCCAGGTTCATAGGGTTTCTGCAGGTAAGCTATTAACGGAAGTGGATGCCACTCCTCCTTCCAAGAACAGGGTTAAGGTCTTTTAATTATAGGGTCGCTACTTGACAACACTGAATAACAATGTATAAAGCCAGGCCCTTTTCTCCATTTTGGAGTTGGGTGAAGTGGCTGGACTCTGCAAGACAGTGCTCTTGTTTTGAAGATCTGTGTGGACTGTGTGGTTGTTTTTATTTAAGCCTCTTGTTTATAGAGTCAACAAGACCTCCTGGAGGGCCCTTATATTTAAATGTTGGGCCTGAGGGATTATATTTTAATCCCTTGTTACTATATTTTGGAGGAACATCCTTCTAAGTAATACTGCACTCTGGCCAATTTGCTGTGCTGAGGTAATCTGGGTTTGCTGTGAACCTGAACCGTTTGCCATTGGAGTCTCAAAATGCCATAATGGAACAACAGTGCCATAGGTGTGCCAAACACTATTAATGACTACCCATTGTGGGCAGTGTTTGGTGGAGCTCCCCAGTTTAATAAGACAGGTGTGGAAGCAGGAGTAAGTGGCATCCACTTTTCACTTCCTAAGCCACACGCCTCTTATGAACTTGAAGAAATGACGATAGTTATAGAAAGGCTTCAGGCCTTTTATTCACAGACTCGATGACAATCAACAACAACTTAAAAATAAGGAGTTTATATACCAAACAAATTCTAAATTAGTCTGCTGGGACTATCCGAACACCTAAGTGGATGTGATCTCCTGACATGCCTGGGCGATTATGGTCAAAGTGACTGAGTCCAGTGAAAACAATTCTCTACTTGGAAAATAAACTGATCGGCACACACAATTCATTTTCCCCAATTTTGGTTAAAAAAAATCACGTGAACAAAGGCACCTTTCCATAGACATTCCATAATTGTGCCTCTTATTTCACACTGGCAGCAAAACAACACTCATTAATTACATAAATGGCTTGAACAGACGACAGTAGCATACTGTCATCTGTTTGGATGATAGAGATCAAACTGAAAAACAAATGGTATCAAAGTAAAGTGCGAGTATGTGTGTGTGTACATGCACACACGTGTACACACATGTGTATGTGTGTTTATGCTAATGTACTTGACAGGTAACAGAGCTCAGGAAAGTGGGTTAGGGACTGAGGGTTTCTATACTGAACACTTTCACGTTCAGCCCTTCAATCTCACTGGTCTTATTTCCATATTATTCAATTATTCATGAACACACTTCAATTATTCATTAGTTGCCACAAAAGGCTTTGCTCTATAGAAGCAAGACAGAACGACACATGTTTTCTTTGCCTTACAAAATATCTTGAGTAGCATTAACATTACAGGCATTACACAGTCATCGAAAGCAGCTGTTTTCATGTCATTTGTCTTAACATCACTGACACTTCTTGTTATAAAAAAGATGAATGCAGAAGTTTTCATTACCTGAGCAGATCATTGCTGTTGGAAAAACCTTGCAGTAAGAAGCTTAGCACATTACTAATAGCAGCAATGGTGGGCTGGGATAAAGACATATCTCGAAGAGTCAGTAGCAGCTTTGGGATTAGCTGGAATTCCCTCATTAATTTGGCATTCTTTGAAGCTTCACTATAAGATAAAAAAGATTTTATAAAATGTACTATCATCTTTGCTGTAACTGAACAACTAACTATTAAATGTTAACTGTTACCTGGACTCTGTGAGAAGTTCAATAAAGTGTTCAAATAGGGAAAGATGAAGTTCATATGGTGCATGGAGCCAGACCTATAATAAATATAGACAACAGTGGAAGATTAAAGGTTAAAAAATTACCAATTGAAACTCATATACTTTGGGCATGTTGTAAGGAGGGCCCAGTCCTTGGAGAAATATGATATATTTGCAAGAGTAGGAGGTCAGCGCAAGAAAGGAAGGCACTGGATGACACAGATTGACACAGTGACTGCACAAATGGGGTCAAGTGTGTGCAAGACAGTAAAGTGGGCTCAGGATGGGGCAAGTTTTAGAGCTGTTAATCCTAAGGTCACTCTGAATCATAGTCCACCTGACGGCACATAGCAACCAACACGATTATATCAAGAATAAACACAACTTATGAAACTTACTCTCCTTATGTAATTGGATATTACATTATTAATCTTTACTTGGCAAAGTTCTAGAAAAGTATTCATATGGAGAATGTGAGGGAAAACTACCATGACTATTACCTTCCCACAGTAAACAGCTGGAAAACTAGACAAAGTATATGAAATAACTGCTTTCAGACACTAGCCAACAGTCGATGACCCTTGAGGGAAGGGAAACAAAAAAGGTAAGCCTCAGGATTGCTCCAGCTGACTGGCCGCGGGCAGTTTCCAAACTGTGTAGTAATCCTTCCAGGGGCTCTGACTCGAAAAAACTCAGAAGACCAATTCAAAGGTCACTCTCTAACAAAGCTTAAAATGATGCCACAAGACAATATAAATAACAACAAATTGCTTAAATGCATGCCAGAAAAAAAGTCCTATACTCTTGAAAGGGATAAAACAAATCTACATTCAACTGCGTGAAATTTTTAAGAGTTAGTACCCAATCTAAATTAACTGGTTTACACAGAAAAAGAAAATCTGATCCACATTTATTAAGTGTCAGTAGGTCCGTTAAAGATGAACATTGTGGAATTCAAATGAACTTAAAAAGCTAATAAAAATACGCTCCAAATGGTAAAGAATGTAATTAAAACTATGAACATAAATGAAAACATTTAACATATAAAATAAAATAAAAACAGAGTTCTAGAGATGAAAATGGCATTATTCAAAATGAAAAATACCCTCCATGTGCATATTAGATTAAAACATAAAACAAAAATTAAAATGAAGTATAATAAAAATAGTCATACAAAAATTAATAGAAAGACAAGCAACTTGTGGGACAGTATCAAGCTATCTGAGATTTGAGGAAAAATAAAATGGGATTGAGACAGGAAAAATATCTGACTAAGTACAAAGCACAGGCACAGAAACAAAAATAAGAAAATGACTGATAAGTCGAAAACATGAAAGAAGAACAAAACTAATTAGCATTCTATGCTATACTATATACTTCAAAAAAGGAGGTGAAGATTCTCTCAGATGGGAAATTCATTGTTAGCAGATTTGATCTACAAGAAATGTTAAAGAAAGTTCTTCTGACAGAAGAATTATACATGGAAATCTGCATCTGCACAAAGGAATTTTTTTTTAAAAAAACATCATAAATAGTACAAGTGTGGGCAAAAATAAAGGACTTATTTGATGTCTTTCAAAGATAATTCATTATATGAAGCAAATGTAATACAAAGACTTGTGAGAGTTATACACACATTATGATAAGAGCACAAAAAGACGAGAAGGAAGAAATGGAAGTATACTGATGTAGGGTTTTTACACCACTGGTGAAATGGTAATATATAGACTAATTTGTTATAGGTATGTAATATAAATCTTAGAACCACCATTAAAACATGAAATTGCTTGTGTGCTATTACAATAACAGCTGGATGGCAGTGGGCTTTCAAAATATTTTTCAGTCTTTTTAAAAGAAGCTTACGTGGTTAACCAGAACAATGACAGTTATAACGCACGCAGTGGCTGGGGGAAAAAGAAATCTCACCCAGATATTTCTAGATGGCTTTATTTGATAGTTAATTTTGATAAATGATAGTTATAGAAAGGCTTCAGGACTTTTGTTCATAGGGACACTATGAACCGACTTGACGGCAATCAACATTTCTAAATAGCTATCGAGAAATATTTCTAAATAGCTATTTTAAAAAGCTAAAATAAGTCAAGCTCAATGTCAGAACAAATTCATAGCAGCCCCTGCTGCAATTTTTCTGAGTCTATAAACTGCATGTGATGAGACTGCTCATAATCTTCCTGCCAAGTGGCTAGTGGACTCAAACCACCAGAGCAGTCACCTCTGTGTTCACAGCAGAACTCCCTCTGTACTTGGCAAGCAGAGCAAGGCCTGGAAGTGTGCTTTTTGATCATTTATACAACTAAGTTTCTAATGTTTATATATTCCAATTAGAAAGTGAAAACAAAAACCAGTCCAAGATAAATGTGTCAGCACTTGGAAACTGCTAAACAGAGATTAGGTTAGGCAGGTGTCCTTTCTGCCTATCTTAATCTTCTGTGCTTTCACAAATTTGGAAAGTGTCTAGCTCACTCTCTCTTGGAACGTGATACAGGGATTGTAGCAATGGGCTGGAGCAAGTCTCAGATTGTGAGGATGGCACAGGATAGAGCAAGGGTTTCATCTGCTGTTCACAGAATTGCTGTGAGTCATAGAGAGAGCTCAGTTGGCCTAGTGGATAGAAAGTGATGATACCAAGCCAAAGGCAGGTGATTTTAATCTCTGACCCTCAGGCCTGGTTTTAATTATTTTTGGCCAAACATTCTTCTAAGCGGTAGAGCACTGGTCTGTCCATTTATTGTACAGAAGTAACTCGTGGTTGCTGTGATGCTGAACACTGTGACCCTGGTGTGCCAAATGCAATAATGGTTACACATGATGGACAGTGTCTGTTGGAGCTCCCCGATTAAAACAAGCTTGGAAGCAGGAGTGGAATCCACTTCTGAGCTTGCCTCCAGAAACTCTTATGAACTTGGAGAAATGATGAAAGTTATACAAGTGTTCAGGTCTTTTGTTATAGGGCCATTATGAGTCATGTATGACTCGACAACCCTGAACAACAACAAGAGAACACTAAAGCGATAAGGAGCTCTGGTGGCAAGAAGTGGTACTACAAAGGCATGCAGTTCAAATCCATCAGCTGCTCCACAGGGGGAGAAAGATGGGTTGTCTCCTCTCATGGACTAAAAGCCTTGAAGGCATGGACTCATTCTTCTATTTCCATATCCTTAGTATCCTAATACTAACGGGAACTCTGGTGATCTAGGGGACTAGGAGTTGTGCCGCCAATTTAAAGGCAGGCAGTTTGAATTTACCAACTGCTCTGTAGGAGAAAGATGGGCACTCTCCTCCCATGTGATTTACAACCTCTATAAACTCACTGGAGGGTTAGCTATGAGTTAGTTCTGGCCTGACAGCATGTAACAACAACTATAATAAGAAGTATCTAATACAGCATCTGACTAAAAGATACTCGTTTCCTAAAGAATGAGAGGTGTACTCGAAAGTCAAGTATCAGACTAAGAAATGTTATCTTATTGTATAGGTAAGAGAAATCACTTGGAAGTACTGAATGACTTGATTATGTTTTTAAAAGAATGAGGTCACAAAAATATATAGCAGAGATTGAGAAAAAGGAGACGTGATAAGACAAGTTATCTGAGTAGGTGAAGGGGAACTGATTAGGATGTGGATTAGGATGGAACAGCAGAAACAGAAGGCGGCAGAATCTACTCGGCTTGAACAGTTTACAGACTGAGGAATAAGAAAACCATTTTAAGATATAATGACTAATACAGTGGTGGTATTATTAACAGAAAGAGAAAAGACTAATTTGCTGCTGGATGGTGAGTTCCATTTAGGTGTTTTGGGACAGAAAAATGGAAATGCTGTGCAAGGCATTAAAAGTAAGTCAGGAGATCAGACGCCAAGACTAAAAATTTAGATTTAAGAGAAAACAGGTGAGAGGAAAAGATAAAGACAACTTTATTTACAATATTGAAGATAATGTCAACAGTAAATGAAGGGAAAAGTAATGAAAGACATAAAAGAACTAGGACTGTAATGCCTACAAGTTAGCAGGGAACTTGGAGTAGAGAGAAGAGAAATCCGCATCACAGCAAAGGCTCTGGAGAGCCAGGGGTGCTGAGAAAAAGCCTCTCCTAGCAACATACCCAAAATGTGTGAAACCAAGCATTTCTGGGTTTGCCTCCAAGAAGCACTATTATTGCACCTTCTCCAAGACACATCTGTTTGTTCTTTTGACAGTTCACAGGATATCCAGCACTCTTCTCCAGTAACACAATTTAAAAGCATCAATTCTTCTTTTGTCATCCTTAGTCACTGACCAGCATTCAGATACATACCAAGTGACCAAAAAGACCAGGGCCTGACATATTAACATGAGTATAAATATCATAAAACTTTAGAGAAAATACAGAAATAAAACAGTATAATAAAATAATTTTGCAGATAAAAGAATGAATTCCCTGATAATGTTGTACCAGTCAGTGCTCATGTACATACCTCAAAATCACAAAGTAGGTCTTGGAAAGCAGTTGAATTTGGAATAATGGAGGTCTCATGTCCACTATCAACAGTTCCCACCAAGGAAAACGTCAGATGGAGGATGTGGCTGTTCAGAAGGGAACGTTTCTTCTTAAGCAGCATCGCCAGCAACTAAAAGAAAGTAATATCAAATGCTTATGGTATACTTGTAGTCTGGAGAATAATAATATATTCAGATAAATTTCTATGCAGATTTTGAAATTTGCATTTTATTACAGGAATACAATATCAGAGAAAATCTAATAGAAAAAATTATTTTCATTCCATCACTATATTATTATAACTTCTACTTTTACAGAAATCTTTTAAATTCATAAATACTTAACTAGCTATTATTCTTGTTGCTGATTGCCTTCAAGGTGAGCACAACTCATAGCGACCCTATGAACAAAAGGCCTAAAGCCCCTCTACAACTATCAGCATTTATCAAAGTTTATAGAGTTTCCAGAGGCATATTACTTAGGAAGTAGATGCCACTCCTGCTTCCAAACCTGTTATATTGTTTTAGATGCCATTGAGTCACCTGCAATGTATAGCAACCCTATGTACAGCAGCTCTGAACCCTTCCCTGTCCTGAGTCAGTCTCACTGATTCTGACACATCACCCCTCATTGCACCAGTTACTGTGTCAATCCATCTCATCCAGGGCCTTCCTCCCCTGAGCTGCCTGTCTGAACAAGATGTCCTTCTCCAAGGACCTATCTCTCCTGGCCACATGCCCAAATGTTTTTATAATTCTGTATTTTTCTTCTTAACATCTTACAAAAGGGGATTTTAAAAAAATTTTCATATACAACATAATCTTCATAATTAAAATGTACAATGTTGAATGATAGTCTGTGAAATGAGTCTAGCATACTTAATTATTTTCATGTTGTTGGTACATTTAAGTTTGTTCCTGCATTTCATGATGAATATTATTCTAACAATCAATTTAACACAATGACTACAATAACAGGTTTATCATGATCATGGAGATCGTGACAATTTTTAAATTATAACTGACACAGTGGCAACAGCATGACAGAGACTGTAAAGATGGCACAACACAAAGTTCAGATCTACTGTTCATAGGGTTGCTATAAGTCATAACAACAATCACTTGAAAAGCTTTGCAAAAACAAACACTTAATAAAATAGTGTGACTAAAAATATAAAACACAATAATCAGTTTACTACTCTCACCAATAAAGTAGTAACAAAAGGCACAGAGATAGATTGTCTCTCTAGTTCATTCATAGGTATTAACTAATCTTGCTTTTTGTTCTTTCAAAAAGTAAATTTCTGCCTAAATTTAAGAGTATGTTTATAGATATTTGAACACTGTTACATTTAAAATTCCACACAAGTTTTTAGGAATAGCAATGGCACACACAATGGGTAGTGGCCTTCACATTGTTTATAAAAGAAAGCGAGAGGGAAAAATGACTTAATGTGATGTGGAGAAGAAAGATAAGGCAAATGGAAAGAGTTCTGAATGTATAACTGAACAAAAATCTCTAGATAAGGCAATAATGTGGCCATACTTCACTTCATACCATTTCCATAAAAGAAAACAACAGAAAAATGAACCATTGTTCAGAAGATATGTTGAAATACATCAGAAGGCACATTATTTCAATATAGCCTAATTAAAGGGTACAATAAGTAAATAACAGAGTTCTTACTCATGTTAGTTTTAAAGAGAATTACTGTCTAATTCCTATAAACAATTCTTTTACAGTTTTTTTAAAACTATCAATAGTGATGAAAATGAACTTTTATTCTGGTACAATTAGGAAGGGAAAGCTTTATGACAAACCTGATAGCCCTTGATTCTTTCCATTTCTTTGCTGGCTAGTGGGTTACTCTTGACCACACAAACCAGGGCCTTGACTGCTGCATAGAGCCCTTCCACATCAGAGGCCATGGCCACCAGGCCCAGGATGGCTGCAGCTCCACCAATGTACTGCAAAGTAGTGGCAACAGGCTTAGGGACAAATGTTCTTACTCCTGATTAAAAGACAGTAAAACATAATTAAAATGAATTCCCCATGTGAGTTAACAGTGAATAAAGCATCTAAAGAAATATTCCATCAATTATAAACTTCACTTTTTAAAATGTCTTCGATCTCAACATGGGAATCCTCCCAAATTAAAGAGACTTCAAGAGATACAATAAAGGCTAAAGGACTTACCGTCATTTCAGAGTAAAAGAAATCTTAGAATACAGTTTCTTTTGATACGAATCTAAAATTCATTCTTTGTCCTAAATTTTTATTCCTTTATTAATTTTTATCTTCTATCTAAAGTAAAACGTTTGAAAAAATTGCTGCTTGAATTGATTTTGACTCAGAGTATTAAATATCTAGTTTACTACAATATAAAAACAAGCTCAAAGCAGTTCTGCTGGGACAAACTTGACCCGTTGTGAACCACCATGCGATATAATTGTTAATAAGTGAAAGACTACCTATCATTCTCCCTCAGAGTGGCTGTTGGATTTGAACCAGCAATCTACTGTTTAGCAGCAAAACAAGTTATATGCAACACTACCAGTATGCTTTTATTTCACACTATTTGGAAATAAAATTTAACACTTAAAAAATCATTCAATAATGTTTCTTTAAGCCTAGTTAATATCCAACCACACCGAAAAGAAATATTTGTGTAAGTTAAGAAAACTGGAATAGCAATTTTTTTGTCTGTTTTATTATTAGCGTGATTACAGAAATTAAAGTTTCATTTCTCAATGGTAAAATGGCTTCCTTTTAGTGTGATTTAGCACAATGCTTTTGATTTTCAGAACTGTATAACTTTTTCTGATGACATGTAGATCCAGTGCTTCTGTAAATGACAGAAACACTTCTGCGGCTGTCAAGGCTGATGGTGAGCAGAGAGGGGAGAACCAGGAACCCAGGAGAGCACAGAGGGGAGAACCAGGAGTCCAGAAGAGAACCAGGAGGCCAGGGGCGAGTTGGAGGGAGTTGGGTTCTCGAGCAGCAGAGATAATTCTATAGTGTAGTTTTGAGTAATAGAGACAGTCACATATACAGAGGACCTGGGATTGTATCCTAAGAAGAATGAAAGGGCCTTACTAGTTTTTTGTTGCGGAATTAACACAGAAAGCAGAATTACTTAACTGTCCTACAGTAGAGGCTAGACAAAGCATTTCTAAAATATAGGTGGCTGAGTGTTGAGGTACTGCCAACCAACCCAAAGGTACATGGTTCAAATCCACCAGGATCTCCGCTGGAGAAAGATAGGCAATCTTCTCCTCCGCAAATCATTGTCTCTCAACACCCACTGGAGGGTCAGCTATGAGTTCCAACTCCACAATACTCAATAACAACCACGATAACCCACAATCTCAGAAGTACACATTATCATCAGTAATGCTAAACAAAACATGAAGCACCATCAGCATTTCTGAATTTTGGTTCCTAAACGTAGTCTGAAGTTTAACCCTACAAATTATAGAGGATATGTTCTTAGTATTCATCAGTGTTCACAAATGGGGGAAAAGTTAATGGGACTTTATAAAAAAAGCTGTAAGTTTTTCAGGTGACTGTGTTTGAAATTGCTAAATTAATCACTAATTACTGCAAGAACATTGTAGATTAGCCTTATTCTAAATTATAAATTTAAATGCCACTCCTCAAGTGAGGTAAGTGGATACAAATTTGAAGGCCAGTAAAGAATGTTAAAGGAACAACAACAGAAGACAGTATGACTCACCCAAGTATCCAATTAGGGTAGCCCCGATGGTCCGTGCTGGTCCGTTAAGATGTCCTGTTGAATTGTGTATCAACTTCACAGGAGTGGCATTCTCATGAGAGGAAATGCCTAACTAAAGAAGGGGGAGAAAAGCAAATAACGTAACTATCAAACTGAATGTTTTGATTGGAATAGAAAAAACTACATGGTGTAGTAACTAGTTGCACTGCCAACCCAAAAGCTGGAAGTTTAAATTCTCCCAAATACCCTGCAGGAGAAAAGTTGGGGAATTTCCTCTTGAGCAATTGATAGCCTCCAAAAACATGCTGGGGAGTCAGTGATGAGTTGGTTCTGACACATAACAATGCAATATATATATAAATTTGGTATTTTCTTTTTAAGATGTATAACTGCTTCCAAATATGTTTAAACTCAAAGAGGTTGTTAAAATCAAACTTCTATGACAAAGTTGGCAAGCAAATCTCAGGGTATAGTTTCAAGGATCTTTCTGGCATGTTTCAAACTTTATTTTTACCTGTTACACAGAATTACTGATCAGTGAATTTAATATCTTTAATCCATATTCAAGTAAGTCACATAAATTACCCAAGAGTTTGCAGGTAAAACATGGCCACACAAAAAGGTTAAATTTTGTACACATATATACATATACAAACACAAAGTATTTGCAAAGCAAATATAATCCTAGGATTGGAATTCTACTGTGAATTGTCAAACTAAATTTAAGTGCACTTTTAGGTTCTCACAAAGTAGATGTATTAATAGCCAAATTCAGCACAAGAGTTGTCAATAGTTCATATTCCCAGTTTCTCTCCTACCAGTTTCCCTAGCTTTCCTTCCAATTAGGTTTTGCCTCAGTTAAGCTGCCAAAGGGCTGGTCAGGCTCACCAATGATCTTCACTTGATTAAACCCAATGATCAGTTCTCAGTCCTAATCTAACCTGGCAACTACATAATGTTGTTGTTGTTGTTATGTGCCGTCGAGTCGCCTGCGACTCATAGCGACCCTATGTACAACAGCCCTAAACTCCGCTCTGTCCTGTGCCAATCGCA